CATAACCAGATAACAATCCAAAGGGCCGACCTTGGTGCCTTAGACCCTTGAGTATAGTGAGGATAATTCACCTTGCAAATGTCGACTCGAAAGATAAGCTCACACTCTCGGATTACTGCCAAAAACTCCACCACCTATAATCGCCATACAACCATGTTCATAAGTTCCCAAAATGCCCCCAAAAGTCCAAAAGTCAACCCATGGTCAAACTCAAAGTCAACTGTCAAGGTCAACAGTCCATGTTGACCTGAACTCGTCGAGTGCAACTAGACACTCACCGAGTTCCTTGCATAACTAACCCTCTCGCCGAGTCACTCTACTGAGTTGCCGAGTCTACGACAATCTTCAATGGACTCGCCGAGTTGTTCATCCAACGCGTCGAGTTCATGACCATCTTCATATGACTCGCCGCGTCTACCATGCGACTCGTCGAGTCCCTTCAATCCTTCATCCTTACAAGTGCTTTCTAAGCCATGCAAAGGCTCCATATTGCAGATCTAAGCTCCTAGGGAATGTTTATCACGTAAAGTTGCAAACTTTACGTGCATGCAAGATGATAATGCCCCAAAACAAGCTAAAGGAGTGGCTTAAGGTAATGGAAAGGTCATAGCTTGATAAAGACTGAAACTTTATGACAAAGAGGGGCTAAAGGAGTCCAGATCTGAGGTTGCAACCTCAGATCAGGACCCAAATCGGAGAACCACCACAAAACCCCAAAAGGGCTCTAAACCCATAAATGAAGAGATTTAACCAAAGGAGAGTCAAGGTAACAACTTGTTACCTTCAAAACGATGCCAAGACAGAGAAGAATCCGGATCTACAACAGCCCCTTGCTTCAAACTTCTTGAACTCCAAGCTCTTTACTCCAAGAATCTTCTTTCAAGATAAGAAGCACACAAAATAGAGGGAAATCACAAATTAGGGTTTCTGAATTCGAGGGAGGCGGTAAGAAAGGCTAGGGGGATAAGTGATCCTTAAATAGGGTGCAAAACCCCGGAAATTAGGGTTTCATCCTCCAGCTCCTACTCGTCGAGTCCCTTCTTGGACTCGGCGAGTAGGTCACTTAAAACACGCGGACCAACCCGCTGCTACTCGACGAGTAGGGAAACCCACTCGTTGAGTAGACCTTAAAATCAAGAATATTCTTATATAAATCAATACCTAAGAATCGGGGCGTTATACTATTATTATATAAATCAAGAATATTCTTATATATATATATATATATATATATATATATATATATATATATATATATATATATATATATATGACTTAAGGCGGCAAATACAAGTCTGTGGAGCCATGACGCGTCATGATGAGCTTTTTAGAACATTGACTGAGATTGATTCTCACATTCTCAACCTTTATTTTCCCAATTAAACACACACACACACCACACACACACAACACACAATATATATATATATATATATATATATAATATATATATAATATATAAGGAAAACCTTATAAAAACCTAACATATTTTCATCAAATTCTTAAAAAACATTATATTATTTTTTTTGTATGTTAAAACCCTTATATTTTTTAAAATGTATCATTTAAGGCATTGAGTTCGATAAATCCTAGATACCCGAAAATGCTAGGTAATTCAATTCTCAATGTTTGGTTTGTTCAATTCATTAGATTAAAAATTTTCAAAAAATATGAGGGTTTAAATGCACTAAAAAAATATAATGGTTTTTTAATCATTTCATGAAAATAGATTAGGTTTTTCTAAGGTCAGAAAACCTTAAATAAGAACTTCAGAAAACATAAGGGTTTTGGTGCACTAAAAATAATATAGTGGTTTATTTAAGCATTTGATGAAAATACGTTGGATTTTTCTGAGGTTTTCCTATATATATATATATATATATATATATATATATATATATATATATATATATATATATATATATTATATATATATATATATATATATATATATATGAGAGAGAGAGAGAGAGAGAGAGAGAATGATCATTTGAGAACTTATAGTTTCCCGAGAACCCGAGAACTAAAAGTGGACCGTTAGATTAAAAAAATTAAGGGCTAATATATTTTATGGCATTTTTGTAAATAAATGGGAAAATTAAACACGAAGGTATGGTTCTGAAGAGATTATTCCCCCAAATCAATCGATGCCGCTCTCAAATCCCTCGATCGTCTTTGTCCGTCATCCCTCTTTCTCTTACAACTTCATCGTCGATCCTTCCCCAATCCAGAACCATCGTCTGACATCTATGGTTTCCTCCGTCAAATGTCTCCCCTATTCATTGAATCAGGGAAGGTGAAGTGTAACATCCGGATTCCCAGGTATCTTATTTTAGTTATTTATTTTGGGTTTTATGGAGGGACTCGGCGAGTAGACGCTCAGACTCGCCGAGTAGGATCGCGAGTTCTTGACTGGATTAATGACCGGACTCGACGAGTAGATACGTGGACTCGGCGAGTCCGCGCTGTAAAGTGAAACCCTAAATCCCCGGGCCTGTGCCCTATTTAAAGGCCTTTATGGCCTCCATTTGCGGCCAATGCACCCCAGAGAAACCCTAGAGAGAGCAGTGAGAGAGTTGAGAGCAAGAAGAGGCTAATACATCACTTTTGGTGTAGTCTTGCTAGAAGGAAGAAGGAAACACCCATCTGGAGCGTGAAGGGAGCTTGGATCTGGGCTAATCATCTTGAGAGTTCATCTCTGGAGGTATAATCCCTTCTATTTCGTGTTGATATGATAGATTTCATGATTTTAGGGTTTTTACCTCCATTTTATGTAAGATCTAGTGAGTATGAGGCCCCCTTTGTGTTAATAGCATCAGATCTGGATCATGAGAGGTCCATAGAGTCACTATCCCTCAGCTTTATGCAAGCAAATGAAAGATTGGGGACTAGGTTGCCATTTTTAGAGTTATTTCTCCATTTATGACTTGTTGTGGGTTGCATGCACGTAAAGGTTGCACCTTTACGTGACATTTGAACATTTGAAGGGTAGATCTGATATTTAGGGAAGCAGATCTGACCTTAGGAGGTCATTTGAGGATGAACATGGAGGCAACTCGCCGAGTCCATAAGTGGACTCGACGAGTCGAGTCGGGGTTGCCCCGCGATTCGTGACAGATGTAACCCGTCGAGTGGAAGGATGACTCGACGAGCCAAGAGAGGCTGAAAGGATTCAGAAGACCCGCATGGACTCGCCGAGTCGCCTTGTGCACTCGACGAGTCGGGTCAAAGTTGACCGTTGACTTTCGTTGACTTTAGGGTTCTGGTCAAGACTGATTCAGGAGAGTTCAGGGAAGGGTAGAATGGCCTTCTACCAAATCTGTAGAGATGAGATCATGAGTGAATATTGATCGGGGATGTTATCTGAATAATAGGAGGAGGCTAAGTCGGGACGTCGAGCTCAAGAGTTTATCCGATTTCATTGAGGTGAGTCTTCTCACTATACATTACCTAGAGTGGTATTTATGTGTAGACCAGAGGGTCTTGTATGCTATGTGTATATATATGAGTTATGTGCATTGTGTTATATGTATGCTATGTGTTGAATAGACCAGGCCGGAGGGCCCAACGATATAGACCGGACCGAAGGGTCCAACGACACAGACTGGATCGAAGGGTCCGGCGAGCTATGACCGGACCAGAGGGTCCAACGAGCTATGGGACTGGAGGGTCCCGCTGAGACACATCGACCGGAGGGTCGTATTGTAGCCTCGAGTGGCGTATGTGTTGCATGTGGTATTTTGGGGGAACTCACTAAGCATTTATGCTTACAGTTGTTGTGTTATGTGTTTCAGGTACTAGCGAGGATCGCGGGAAGGCGCCGACATGATCCGTACACACTGAGAGGATTTATGTATTTGAGGATCTTGGGATTTGTTTATTGAGATAACATGTGTTACATTGGATTACTATGATATTTTATGAATGAGAGTATATTTTTAAAATGAAAAATTGTTTTGGAAATTTACGTTGTTACATGAAGACTACTAATTCATGGTCCTTATCCTCCGTATCGTCGATGGTGAATCCACGAGCTAAGAGATCGATGTCATTAGTTTTCATCTTCAATTGCGACAGTAGATTGCCAAATACTTGAATATTATATGATGGATCTTTGATAGCCGAAGTATCTGTAATCACGTCGTACAGATAGAGATCCCCACTGAAGATCGGACTCACACACATGCGCTGAAGATCGATGAAGGACCAAAGTTATTGTCGATTTTCAACAAAATCATCGTCGATTTCAATGAAATAACCATCAATTTCTAGCACAGGTGATCAAAATCACACACATAAAGTCGATTATTGCTCATCGCAACTCAGGTAAGTTCGATTACTATTCCTAGTTTTATGAATTTGAACTTTTGATTTTGCAGTTTTCTTTCACAAAAAACCTTGTGTGAAACAAAGTGTGCTCCTGTGTAACAATATCTCTAATGAAACTTCATCTTATGAGGAAGAATACTATGATGAAGTGTTTATTTGTTTATAAACACAATAATAAAACGTAATTACTGGTGGAGTTAAAAATACAATAACTCATATCTGTAAAAAGATAAAAAAGGGGATCCACTTTCTGACTTGATTAAAAGACATAAACAATTCAAGTCAACCCTCTTATAACTGATCATTTTAGCAGGTTTCATCTTGCTTTTGGAAAAGCCGAACTTGTTTTGCTAATTACTCTTATTTGAAGAAAATAGATGTCAATAAACAAGATTATAAAATGAAAAAAGTAGTAAATCATGGAAGTCGACTGGAAAGGGTTTTAAATGATAAATGGATATGACAGATAACATGGTTAATTGGCTGAACATATATTCCAGATGCATATTTTTGATGTGGGGAACCTGAACTCTGAGTTTATGACTCAGACATGGTCAAAATCCCCAAAAACAAAAAGGTTTTTCTTCATGTTTCCTGTCATACTTTTTTATATAGATATATAAATGCGTCATTTTATATATATCTTCATGGTTTTCTTTAATTGTTTCAGAATGGCTACAAAAAGCAACATTGATGCTCATAAATGCTGCAAGTGTAAGACTACCAAGTGCTTGAAACTGTAAGTTCAAATTTAATAATGGAGATATGACCACATTCTCTAAAGTAAAAAGTGTTATAGCACTTAGCAACTGAAGTTTGAGTCTTTTTAACACAACGATTTCTTTTTAGATATTGTGTTTGCTTTGTTGCTGAATCTTATTGTACTGAAGCTTGCTCTTGCAAAAAATGCTGCAATCTACTTGATTATGAAGATACAGTTGAAGTGGCATGTGAACAAGCAAAAGTGAGAAATCCACTTGCATTTTCCACCAAGGTTCATTCTCTTGATCAAGTCTATGATCTTTAAAACATGACTTTACATTAGTATTACAAATTACAATAATCCTACAATTTCACTTTCTCTATTTGATTTTTTTTGGAAATTACAATCTGATTTTGTTGATTTTGATTTAGATATATTTTCAATCATAAAAAATGGATGATGTCATAATGAAAGAGGAAAATAATTAAAAATGGATGATGTCATAAAAATAGATATATTATAACACACATATTTGAATCAAGACCAAGATTATTTGGTTTCCTTAGGAGAAATGAAGGTATATATGATCTAAAACTTTAATTGTGATTTACTGCAATTTGCTCATATGATAATCTGTTGGAAATAAATCGTAGTGCTTGAGATATCTTTTGGGTGTCCTTATGTTGTTTGAAGATGTGATAATCACTTTTGATAATCACAAGTGAATCACATATGAATTACATGTGATTCATATGTAAATCACAAGTGAATCATTTTACTTACTAATGCAATAACATGAATTCTTCATCATGAGGAAAGCTTTTCATTCTGCTCATTCAATGATGCGATTCTCTTTGATGAATCAGAAACTGTTAGAAGTAAATCATCTCTTTCTTCTGATAAAAGTTGAGATTCCTTTTGAATACCATGAATCCTTGCTTTAGAAGCTTCTAGAAGGTGGTTATTCGTATCCAACTCTTGCTCAAGGCTTTCGTATCTTTCCTTGATTAACTTTATTTTTTTACTCATGTACTTTGTGTCTATCTCTCTTTATATATATCATTTATCTTACTGTGTGTGTTTAACTGTGTCTGTGTTTCTTGATCCTAAATGCAGGCCTTACACAATATGTTGAAGGCGCGATTCTTTCAAACAAAATCCTCCCCTCTTGTTGTTGATGATCGGCCGAGCTTCAACATCTAAATGTTGAAGAATCAAGACTTGATAAGTGTATAAGGTAAACACAACAACACCTCAACTCTATGGAATTTGATCATAATCAATACTTGATAAAGTAATTCCATTCCTTTACATGATTCCACCATACCAATTACATGTGATTCACATGTAAATCACATATGAATTACATGTGATTCACATATGAATTACATGTGATTCACAAGTGAATCACAGAAGAATTACATGTGATTCACATGTAAATCACAAGTGAATCACATATGAATTACATGTGATTCACATATGAATTACATGTGATTCACATGTAAATCACATGTAATTCACATGTAAATCACATATGAATTACATGTTATACACATGTAAATAACATGTAATTCACATATGAATTACATGTAAATCATATGTAATTCACATATGATTCACATTAAATCACAAGTGAATCACATATCAATTACATGTGATTCATATGTAAATAACAAGTTAATAACATATGAATAAGATGTGATTCAAAAGTGAATCACATATGAATTACATGTGATTCACAACTGAATCACATATGAATTATATGTGATTCACATGTAAATCACAAGTATTTCAAATTATTAATTACATGTAATTCACATGTAAATCACAAGTGAATCACATATGAATTACATATGATTCACAAGTGAATCACATAAGAATTACTTGTGTATATGAATTACATGTGATTTACAACTGAATCACATATGAATTACATGTGATTCACAAGTGAATCACATATAAATTACATGTGATTCACAAGTGAATCACATATGAATTATATGCAATTCATATGTAATTCACATATTAATCACATGTAATTCAGATGTAAATTACATGTGCATTTTTGTGAGTGTTCTTGCATTAATCAAATTTTTTAATTTTCTTGTAGATTTTGAAGAATTTATGGAAAATATTGAAGAGGTGAAAAGTAATAAATTGAAGAAAATATGAAAATCTTGATATAAAGAAATGATAACAATGTGAATATTCGTAGCATTTTTTATTTTTTATTTTGTATCGAATAAAATACTTGTACTATTATGTTTATAGAATGATTAATAAAAATGAGATTTTTTATGATTTACTTACGAATATTATAGTATAAGAAACATGCATATATTCATTTGAAAAAAAATATGCATATATGCACCTAAACTGTTGATTTTTTTTGTTAACAAAAAATATAGTATTTTTTAAATATTTTAGTTTTTTTTATTTATAAATTTACTGATTTTTTAAAATTTATATTTTTTAAAAAAATACACATTTTTTTAAAAAAATTTGCAATTTTTCTTGAAAAAGTTGCACTTTTTTAGAAAAAATTGCAATATTTAGAAAAAAATGCAGTTTTTTTGAAAAAATGCAGTTTTTTAAATGCGGTATTTTTAAAAAAAAAATTGCAGAAAATTTCAAATTTTTTTAAAATTTATGCTTTCCAAAAATATTAAAAAATCTGCAATTTAAAAAAAAACGAAAATTATTATTTTTATATAAAAAAATCCAAAATTTTGTTTTACAATGTTAATTTGAGAGTTTTTTATTAATATTTGCAATAAGACAAAAAATTAAGTTGGATTGGTATGGTGACGATCATGCCTTTAATGAATTAGTTTTAATCCAACGCTCCACTTTTAGTTCTCGGGTTCTCGGGAAAGTATGAGTTTTCAACCGATCTCTCTCTCTTTCTTATATATATATATATATATATAGATATATATATCTATATATATATATATATTATATATATATATATATATATATATATATAGGGTTGAGATCGGTTGAGAACTCATAGTTTCCCGAGAACCCGAGAACTAAAAGTGGAGCGTTGGATCAAAAGTAATTCATTAGGACATGATCGTCATCTTACCAATCTCATTTAATGTTTAATTTTTTGTGTTATTTAACATATTAATATAAATGTCTAAAAATTTACATCATAAATCAAATTTTCATATTTTTTTAAAAATAGTATTTTTCGTTTTTTTTAAATGCAGATTTTTTAATTTTTTATAGAAAACATGAAATTTGGAAAAAAAATTGAAAAATTATTTTTTTTAAAAAAACTGCAATTTTTTTTAAAAAAAATTGCATTTTAAAAAAAAAACTGCATTTTTAAATAAAAAAACTACAGTTTTTTTCAAAGAAAGTTACATTTTTTTTCAGAAAAAACTGTATTTAAAAAAAAAAACTCCAATCTTTTTTAAAAAACCTGCATTTTTTTTAAAAGAAAGCCAATTTTTATGTACATATGTGCATATTTTTTCAAATGCACATATGTACATTTCTTATACTATAATATTCGTAAGTAAATCACAACAAATCTCATATTTATTAATTAATCTATAAACATAATAGTACAAATATTTTATTCGATACAAAATAAAATATAAAAAATAAAAAATGTTATAAATTTCAAAGCGTTTTCATGTCTTCGTGTCAATATTTCCTTATTTTCTTCAATTTATCATTTTTCACCTCTTCAATATTCACCATAATTTCTTCCAAATCTACAAGAAAATTAAAAAAAAAATTTATTGATGCGAAAGCACTCACAAAAATACATATGTGATTTTCATGTGATTAACATATGAATCACATGCAATTCACATATGAATCACATTTACATATGACATCATATGTAAATCACATGTGATTTATATGTGAATCACATGTGAATTACATGTGAATCAAATGCGATTCACATGTGAATCACATATGATTTACATGTGAATCACATGTGATTTATATGTGAATTACATGTGAATCATATGTAATTCATATGTGAATTACATATGAATCGCATGTAATTCATATGTGATTTACATGTGAATCGCATGTAATTCATATGTGATTTACATGTGAATCACATGTAATTTATATGTTAATTATATATGATTTACATGTGAATCGAATGTAATTTATATGTGAATTACATATGAATTACATGTAATTCATATGTGATTTACATATGAATCACATGTAATTCATATGTGAATTATATGTGATTTACATGTGAATCGAATGTAATTCATATGTGAATTACATGTGATTTTCATGTGGTTAACATATGAATATGTACATATATACGTAATTCATATGTAATTCACTTGTAATTTACATGTGAATCACATATTATTCATATATGATTTACATGTGATTAATATGTGAATCACATGTGATTTACATGTGAATCACATATGATTTACATGTGAATCACATGTAATTCACATGTAAATATATGAATCACATCCAAATTAATACAATAGATATTATATACTACAAAAAAGATAATAATTGAGACTACACACCTGGAATCCAAATTAATGTGAGGGGATCCACATACAATTCATAAAGAAGCTGTAGGAGAACATAAAACTTGTTCATAAAAATCATTAAAAAAACTAAGAAATATGAAATTAATTGAGACTACACACCTTGAATCCAAATTAATGAACCATTGCATTGACATCAGGCTTTTTTTAGCATTTCCAGAATATCAAGAATAACCTTCAAACGACTTATATGAATAAGGCTTCAAATAACAATATTACAGCAACAACAAAAGTCAAAATGAGCCTATATTAGGAACCAAGGTTATAAAACAGTGGGAAATAGCAATATATTACCATTTGACACAAAAGCATGTGCATCCCACATAATTTATTAGCCAATACGTGTTTGGCTTACCTTAATTTATGACATTCAACTTGTAGGTGAATGACCTGCTGTGAATTACCTGCATCTGCATATGCATCCAATCCATCTTCAGATGAACTATCCTTCTCAGAATCTGCATAATATCAACATCATCAAATAAATATTACAAAACTACTGAAAATGTTGTTTATGACTTAAGAAATAAGAATGAAATTAATATAAAAAGTTGCCACTTGAAGATGAACCAGAATCGGATCTTCAATAATGATTAAAGAATGTCCATTTCTGATAATTTTGACCTAAATCATAAAATCATGCTGAAACCCTAAATAATTAGAAATTCAGGTTTGAACGCATATCCAAACAACCCCAAGATTCAATAACAGAAAGCCTAGATGATAAATTTCGGTTCAAATTGGTAATAAATAATTGAAGAAATTAAAAATTAGAAATATAATACTATATAATAGCCTGGAAAACTTATAAAATAAACACTTTTTTTGCAGTAAATTCTTAGGCAGTATGACCAAAATTTTACAAATACAATGACCAAATACTAAAATCAATAAAAAAGAAAATGCTATTTTTATATAAAAAAAAGTGTTATTTTTATTTTCAATAGGGTAGGTTGAAGAAAAAATGCAACAAAAATTTAAGATTTAAAACAAAATAGTGGCTCAAAAGTGCTTGAAAAATAATCACAGGTTATCCCTCATAGTTGTAATGATATGAGAGAGATTGTGTTCATCACCATTGCCACTTTTTAACCTCTGTTTCACCTCATTCTTAAAAATCACAACATAATAATTCAATTCATGTTCAAGAAACTAATCATCAACACATACTTAAAAGCGTACAGAAATCATTCGAAAGAATTAATAGTACAAAAAATGACGAAAATGATATTCAGAATGAGTAGGAGGTTAATTGTTCAATCACTTCGCATAATTTATGCTTCAGAAGACATTGTCAAATAAACTTTCATCATCATTATGCCAATTTCACCGATTTCAAACGAGTTATATCAAAAAACAGATCTAAACAAGAACGAAAAGATAATCAGAAGCAGAACGAAAATCATTTAACGAATTATGAAGGTAATTGAAATCATGAAATTTACCTGTAGGAATGATTCTAGCAGATCATGTGTTTACAGAAAATTGGTGTAAACTAGAACTATGACATCACTCTAAACGCTAATCGTCCCTAAATTTGAGCATCATTCGATTAAATGCACAATCAGTGATTTCAATCACAAAGTTTTCCAGATTCGAACAATGTGAAAAAATCGCAATCATTAAACTACAAATTATACACAAACAAAATGTGAATTCATGAAAGGAATCGAGAGGAAACCTCAATGGCGGATTCTAACGAGTATGCCTGATAATTTCATCAATAGGAGATATGTACCGACGGTTATTCGTATTGGTAACTGGAGAGAAGTAAAGACACGAAATCGTTCACCATAACTGATCGATCTACAACCCTATAGATCCGACGATCACTGCCGAGAGAGGGAAAGAAGAAGCAGACGTCACGACGGGAAATCATACAGATCTTGATGGATCGAATGTTTGAGCGAGAGAGGAAAAAGGGGAGGAAAGAGAAATAGATGATTTTTTTATCAGATATTAAATTTCTGATATGATTTAGGTATATTTGTATTTCCTATAATACCCCTAGTTCAATTAATTGAGATACCCATCGTTCTTATTTTTCCAACTTTTTTTACTAAAACGCCACCTTGCATCTCGACCCTTCTTTTTTTTGATCTAACGTTCCACTTTTAGTTCTCGGGTTCTCGGGAAACTTTGAGTTCTCAAATGATCATTCCTCTCTCTCTCTAGCTCTCTCTCTCTCTCTCTCTCTCTCTATATATATATATATATATATATATATATATATATATATATATTACGAAATTTGGACATTAGCCAAATTAATTTGCAACCATAAAGATCTTTTTTGTTATTTTATCAAATTTTTTTAGAAATAGAACCGGAAGTACCTTTTACATTTATCAAATAAACAAGATAATACATAAAACATGTGAAACATTAAATAAAATAGTCTTTATTTTATTTAACTCATAGTTAATTTATGGGTCGTTTGATAGTTGCTAACTCAGTTAAAGCTAACTGAGTTAAAAGTTGATTGGGTTAGAAGTTATGACTGAGTTAACTTCTGACTGAAATTTGATGTTTGATTTTGCATCTGATTGACTATGCAAAATGACTATATTACCCTCAAACAACATTTTCTATAATAATTCTGTTATGATTTACCATTTAATTTACAACATTACATTTTTTACTCGGCACATAGATATAAAAAAAACAATTTAGATAATTAATTGATCTAAAACAATATTAAATCATTACTATATATATGAAAACCAAAAAATCTACATGTAACATTTTCTTTTATAATCGTGTTTTCAATTGCTTTATATTGATCTTTCACGTCATTGTTTTTTAGTGATATTTATTGATCACTGTTACAAAACAAGTACTAATAACACCAATCTTGTTCAATCTTTACATAATCACCCTCACAATGTTTATCTATATCACCATTTTTTATGTTACATATATTTGAAATCCACTCTCATTGCAACGAGGGGAATAATGATATTTGTGCCAAAGGCAATCCAAAGACGGACAAAGAAAGCATACTCTGTGACTATTTTGATGATGCACCGGTATGAAAATATCATTGAAAAAGATGAATGAAAGCAAATCAGAAGTAAAAAACGATTGAAAGTTGTGGAGAAAGAAAAAAACGATTGCAAAATAGTATGGAAAAAGAAAAAACATCACACCTGAAAGAAGAAAGAAGAAGACGGAGGCGGAGTTGTGCGTCTTCTATTCACTCGTCTTGCGTTGAGATGGGTAGGGCAAAACGGGCATCTTGGAATTTGTTCCCAGTCCTTGGTATTTTAGTTGTGGACCGAGTTAGGAAAAATCAATGGACCGAGTCCTCACTTGTTGACCGAGTCCAAGATTTTTAATGAATAACAAACATGCTAAATGATTTTTTTGGACCGAGTCAATATTTGGATTCAATCGGAAGCTATAACAAACAGGCCCTTAGAAGACACGACAACGTTATGTCAATATCGTGTAAATTTCGTTAATTTTTGAGCTCGACATGATAGTCATTTTTTCTTTACAATACACATAAACATAAATTCCAATTTTAGTTTTCTTCCAATTTTTTCCGTATCATATATTCTTGTCGTGTGATGGATTAACCGGAGGGAGTGGTGCGGTTTCAGACTGCAGTTTTGCCACCGTGGCAGCCGAACACCGCCCCTCCGGTGCGGTAAAGGTGTGGCTAAGGCCGCAGTGCGGCAATGGAAGGAAGCAATGGTTTGTGATTGGCTGCCGTTCCAAATGCTCGTTTTTCAAACTTTTTTTTAACTAACTATATATAAGGTTTTTAAGATACGAAAGGGAAGCTACTTGAGGCTAGGAATTGAAATACTTTCAAAAATTCGAGTCTGGGTTTGTTAACAATGGAGGAAATCAGGCAGCAGGAGCTGCGAGAAAGAAGACATCCTATTTTCTGAATTTGGCATAATAGGTCCCTGGAGTTTGGTCTACGAACTAGAAAAAAATCTTGCTTAACTTCTCTCTACATAATTAGTTTCAGAAATGACACAATCCACCCTTGACTTATAAATCCCAATTATTTATTAAACAAAAAAAAAAAAGCCAAAGTGTGGCACCACTCCTTGTGTGTGGTATGAAACCACATTTTTGTGGTAAATGGTGACGTGACGCCTACATGACACTGCGGTTTCATGAGGGAGTGTGACACCACGCCCTCCGACCTAATACATTGCCTTGGGATATAACTTGAAGAAGCGTCTTAAAGTTATTTGATTCGATTGTTTTTAAAATATTCTTAAGTGTGTATATATATATATATATATATATATATATATATATATATATATATATATATATATATATATTAGAAAAACATCAATTCAGCATGTATCTCGTGGGTAACAGTTACAAAAAAATGAGAACTGAAATTGGTGATAATCGGTTGCATACTTTAGGAATCGAAATTGGAACTAGTTACATCTGTTCCGGCCCCATAATCGTTGGTTCTAGAGTGCTTTCGGTTCAAGCGTTGTCAAATAGTACAGCCCAACCAAAGATTGAGGGTTTAATACTCGTTCTTGATGAAGGATGTAGATTTACAAATTGAGTAATGAGCACAACTATAAGCTTTTCCAAAAAATTAAAAAGTAAATAGATATATGACTATATTAATATTTTTATAGTTTTATCAATTCGCATAATAAAATGTTCTAAACCGAACTGTAAATTGGTTGGTTTAAATCGAATTTAAATTTAGTTTGAACTATTTGTAACCATATTTTGAAATTGGAAATTGTTGAATTGGTAATAGGGATGGGCTTTTTGAACCGGTTTGGAACCGGAACCGATTTTGCTAGATTTTATGAACAAGAACCGGACTATAGATGCCTGTTTTCCGGTTATTTTTATTGAATGTAACCTGTTTTGTGATTTGCCACAAGAATAGCAATGTGCTTTCTACGTTTGTGGGGTTATAAGAAATGCGATGAAGGACAATGTTTAAAAATGAATATTTGAGTAGTTATCTTAATTCATATAATAATTTGTTTAAAATTTGAGATAATGGAGTAAATTTCTAGTCACTTCAAAAAAACAGTTTCTTTGAACATTTTTTCTCCAAACAATATGCAGTGATAATGGAGATAGACAGATAGTCATAATCATCGAAAAACTTTTTCTTTCTTAACTTACTTGTTCCATCACTTTATCCCATCACACACTTATCTCTTTGCTTTTAAACTTTCATGCCCACGAGTAAGATTTAAAAGACCTTAACATACAAAGATGTTTATAAAACTATATTCTAAAATCCAAATTCAAGAAATAGCAACACACTTTCCATTTATTTGTTTGATATGGCATCCTACTTTCATTTCTTTCAATTACAACATTTTTCTTTTGATTTTTTTTTTCTTATTAAGGCAAAAAAAAGGCATTATACAGGAATGTAACACATGAATTTCATAAGCTTTGAATTGGTCATGAAGAATGTAACTGAGTATCTAATGTACATAAATGGGTTCATGATGAATAGTAACTGAATATGTAATGGATATTAAGGTTGCTGAACTAAGCTCTTAATGAATATTAAGGGTTGATGAATGTAGAGGCTAATGAATATTATAAGCAGTTCAATCCAAGGTTGAAGGCTACAATAACTCAGAATTCAAAAAGACTGAAAACTGATCGATTATCACCACAGAGAAACAGATTCAAATACACATTATATAGAGATTTAGGTTTGAATGATAACACCCCCAAAATGCCCCAACAACACCATTTTTACAGAATTGCCCCTTCTATTGCTTATTAGCAGTTATCTCGGTTGCTATGATATCTTGGATCATACGTAGCCTTTTTTTTCGATCTTGTTGGAGCAAAAAAATCTGAGCTGTTTTCTTGCTTTTGAACAGATTATCTTCCAATTTTACAACATGACTGAACCTTAATTCGTAAAATGAAACCAACTCATGAATAGCTTTAACCAAATCTTTCTGCCAATCCATTGTCCCTGAAGTGGAATCAAGATCGACACTTTTACTGATACTGTTACTCTCAGATATTGAACATGGGATCGATGAGGTTTTTATATGCTTCATCTGAAAAGGGAAAAAAAATCACCAACCCCTTAAATTTATTTCTAAAACAAGTGAACCTTAGTGACGATTTACCATTGACATGGGCATCACCAAATATGATCGATGAGGTTTTTATATGCTTCGTCCTGGATGATGATGTAAACAAAGAACCAAAATATGATCGCAAGTACTTACTTTTGATGAAGAAGATAAGAATTCTTCAAAATCTCTGTTAAGCTCTCTGGACAGAATCTATCAAATCAGTTCCCCATGTTATTAGAGAGAGAGAGAGAGAGAGGAGGGTTTTTTCAATAAAAGACCTTACATTTTCACCTTTAATAATCAGGTGTTAATAGGAATACCTTTTCTGGGTTGACGAGCACATTAATGCCAGATACAGCAGTCTCTAAACCAAGCTTTACCTTCGCAGCCCATTTTTTTAATTGAGTGCACTGTTTGCTGGAGTACAAAAGACTATGTTAAGAAACCCCATTGCACACCTCTCAGCCAAACAGGAAAAAGAACCCTAATCTAACCATTCCCATTTTAAAAGTTGATTCATTTCTTGTGATTTGAAATCCATAGTCTTGGGTTTCTCAGTCCTTCGCCGTTATCTCGTTTTACTTCGTTTTTCCGACTATTAAGAAAAATTGCATTCTGTGTTTTCAAATAGCGAAAATGGTTGCTGTATTACTTCTTTTGTATCATCAAACCTGATTCTGGACAATAATAAGTAACTAAAAGGGGGAAATCGAAGAGAAGAAAGATAAACTTACCAGTGCTCAATCACGATCGTCTTTGAACCATTTACGCCGTTAGACGGTGGATCTTCTGCTGCTGCTGCTTCTTCTGTTGTTTTAGGTTTTGGTTGTGGCTTCTCTTTGGAACCGGGCTTAGCCTTTGTATCAGGCTTCTCCATGGAGCTGAGCTTAGCCTTCTTGATCTTCGGCGCCGCCTCAAGCACCACCTTCGCAACCCCTTGGCTCGCTTGGCGCGTCGATCTTCGAGTCGCTCTTGTTGACTTGAGATTTTTGGAAGCGATGTCTGCTTTCCCGTCATTTTTACGCTTCGACGGCGCCATTGATGATGACAGAGGTTAGTGGGGGGTGGGGGGGGAGCGAGAGGATCTATAGTGGCTAAGGTCTTATGGAAGAGTATGAGAGAAGTATCTATTTTCTAATTTCCCGCGCACTTTTATTATTATTATTATTATTTAGGGAAAAATACAAAACTATCCATTTTTCCTAATTACTTATCAAAAAATAGCCAAAAATAGCTCACAAAAGAGTAGTCAACTTTTGGTTGACTACGGTCAACACCCGTTGACTACTCTTTTCTCCTAATGGACTACTGTTTCAAGGGACCGTTTACTTTTTCGTGACCCATTAGCCTAAAGTATATAATAATTTTTTTTTCAGATTATGTCATTTTTCTATTGTTTTCTTTTGTTTGGCTACGTTTTTCTCTCAATGGAACACCCGAAGAACAACCAGGTTTGTCTACTTTTCTTAAAAATTTTACCGTGTTTGTGATTAGGAGTAGGTTTTGTTTATGGGAATAAATTTTTCTTTGAAAAAAAAAAATATAAAACCGTAGGTTTCATATGAAACCTACGGTGTACAAGTGCCCAATGCACTGTTTGTGCAGTGTCGACTTGTACACCGTAGGTTTCATATGAAACCGTACGGACGTTTTTTTTTCGTTTTTTTTAAATGGTATCAATAGAATAGGAATTGGATGTATTTTGTTGTGGTATAAATTTTTTTTTTTTTAAAAAAAAAGGGATGCTGTAGCTTTTTTTGCGAAAATCGTAGACTACGGTTTGGGAAACCGTAGGTTTCGAGAGGAAACTGTAGGTTTTAAAAAACCTACGGTTTTGAATGTCAAAAATGAAAAAAAAAATTATACAAAACGCGAAACAGTAGACGAAATGGCGAAACAGTAGGCGAATCTCGAAATCTACGGTTTCGTGGGCTATTTTTTGGCCATTTGCTAATTTTTGGCTAAAAATTGATAATTACCTTCTTAATTTGGCTAGATTAGTAATTAGGCCTATTATTTAAAGGTTGCTAAAGAGACATCTCATACTATTTATACAACCCATAATAGATAATTTTTTGACTTTTTAACAATGATTATTATTTATTATTCTAAATTGTTATGAAATATTAGTTTGTAAATAAATATTGAACTTCTCATTTTTACCATAACTCTCTATCATTACTTAGCATTAGTAACAATCATTTTAATGTGTTTTATGAGTGTAATAATGCACCATCATAATGTGCATTCATCTTTCATCTTATTTTGGTTGTATAAATATGACTCATATGTATTAGAAAGTTCTCTTCACTCTCATGTCTTACTTTACTCTATAATTTATCTTGTTATTTGATCATATTTTATAACATAAATAACTATTTTTGTTATCTTTTATTTTAAATAATATTTTATAACAAAAAATTAACAAATATATATATATATATATATATATATATATATATATATATATATATATATATATATATATATTATCTTATGTACGTATTTTTTTTCTCTATTGGAACAACTTTTTGTTTTATGATACTATAAAAATAATAAACACTATTAATAAATATATTTATAAAGTTTGTTCTAATTAATTTACGTATATACTTACAGGACTACTAGTGTTTAAACATTTTCATCAAATTTATAATCTAATTATTATATAACTATATAATTATTGTTTGTTATTTCCAAATAATCATATTTATTAACTTTTTATTTTAAATGATATTATCTAATAATTAAAAATAAATAAATACATAAACACAAAAATGTGAGACAAACTTTAATCATTCAATAATCATCTAATTTAAAAAATATTCAAATACGATACACAAATAATATTATTTAACAATCCTCTATAGTTATAAATCCACGATTATGAGGTTTTAACTGTCTATAAAATTGTAGACGTGACATAAACATCGTTTCCCATCCAGCTGCACACGGGGCTATGTGGCGGATCCAATAAGCCGAAATTGTAGGCATCGGACAATTTTCTTTTAGTTGTACCATAACATAATAATCACCATGTACAAGTGAAATCGTAATAATCCGATGGTACAAAAAAAAATTCCGGACCATTCAAAGAGGATAGAGAGTTAGGGAACCATGCTCGGTTAAGAAAGTAAGGACCACACCAAACATGTTGGCAATCAGAATACTCGTTTCAGGCATAAGCATCCGATGTTTCTTTGGTGAACGAGATCCAAAGAAATACAATGAAGTCCACAGTTCATGGACTCCATCTATGAAAACCATAGCGTATGCATCGGATGCACTCTGTAACTCGTGTACCATTTGTTTTCGAACGTAGAGCAACTGATCTTCGCCATACCCGAGACAAACATATATTGCTCGAAATCCGCAATGTCCATCACCCTCAACATTTTGTATACGTGAGACGTATGGATGAAACACGAGTGGAATTTCATCCATTAATAGATGAATGTAGCATGACTGAGGCTCTTGTTTCGAATCCAGAAATTTATTTAAGCCTGGAATTGTTTCATTCGAGTCTGGAATTGCTTCATTCAGGTATGGAATTGCTTCATTCATGTCTGTAATTGCTTCATCAAATTCTAGAATTGCTTCATTCATGTCTGGAATTACGATTACATATGAACTATGTCTTTCGGGTTCCTTGTTCATCCATGTTGAATTCAATCCATCATATTTTGATGTGGTTGAATAGCTACGTCTTCTGGGAGCTTGATTTGTAGAATCAACTCGTTTTTGTTGTTGTTTCTTCAAGTTTGGTCGTCCACGAGTATTTTTTTGAATTGCGGGTTCCTTAATGCGTGTTTTACTTGGTAGGAAGATATCTCTTAGCTTTCTTATCATACTTTTTTTTCCTGCTATTGACTGTTGATAGAACTTTTCTTTAATCATTTCTAAATCATCCTCACAATGAATATCCTCATTTGCTACAGAACTTGACTCTGATAAATCAAGCTTTCTCCAGAATATATCTATCGAATCTAATGGAATATACTCACCTGTATTAAAATACCATTAATATATAAAAATTCAATATATTAATTAAATTTAAAAAAATATTTGTTGAATATACTCACCCGAGTTCAAGTAAATTGATAACATGCAAGCACATGGTAAGCCACAATTATGTTGTAGTTTACAACCACAGTTTGATGAGTCAATTTGATTTTCACTCAACCAATAAAGTTCCCCAACTAGTTTATCGAAAGCTTCATGTGACACTGAACCCCACAATAATCTAAAACATGGCAAGTCGTGTTCCCGTTTACGAACAATTCTATTCTTTTCAAGACTATCATGTATCGATGGAAGTTGAGACCTCACAAATCGATCAAGACAACCAATAAATTTATCAAGAGAAGAATTTGTGCCATCCAAGTACTTCTTTAGATTTGAATGTGCACTCTCAACTCTATTTGTAGTTCGTTGTCCAAAGTTGAGATGTTGATCGATCCAGACTAAGACAAACATTTCCTTGTATTTGTTTAACCAAACTTCATCCAGATAATTTAAAACATCTGCAATTATATAAATGTTATTTATCTATAAAAATAATCTAAAATCATAAATAATTAGTTAGAAAATAAGAAGATTTGTACCTTGATATTTTCTCAACATCGATTGGAGTGTTTTGTAGTTTTCATTGTACATTATCCATGTTGGAGAGTCAACAAGTACAGTCCACATTAAACGAAAGGATTTCCACTCAGTGTCTATCTTGAATGTACTCCTCCAACGCTTTCTAATATCTTCAGTAATGTGCCATCTACAAAGTAATTGAGTGACACCGGGGAAAACTTGTTGACATGCGTTCATCAATGCCAATTCCATGTTTGTGGCAATAACGCGTGGGCGCATGCACTTGTCTAGTGTGGACTTTAGACACGTTAACACCCAATTATAGTTCTCCTCCTTTTCATTAATTATAAAAGCAAAAGCTATGCTAAATTTCTTGTTGGTTGAAGTTGTGCCAACAATCTGAACAAAAGACATACCATATTTGTTGCTCTTGGATGTTGCATCTATAATCAAAACGTGTGGAAATACCTTCCATATCTTCAACTATTGTGGATGAATGAAGAAAAGATTTTCCAATTCATTTGAAATACTGTTTACGGAGAACTCCGTAACAAAATATTTCTCGTTCAAAATTTCCATTAGAACCTACATTTAAATACTGTTAATTAATAAAAATTCAATACATAAATTAAATTTAAAATACTACTTGTTGGATATACTAACCTGCATTGGAGTTTTTCCATAATTTCGGGACGAGCGAATCTTGAGACGCTCATTGTATATGGTTTTTAGTGTAGAAACATTATTCTCGTCGCACTCCTTTAATATCGAGAGTATGTCATGTGGTGAAACATTCTGATTTGTCAAGTCAGCCACCAATTGTTTCTTGTGTTCTTTCAACCGCATAGCAAAAGCATGTCCCTCCATATATTCTGCAGGTGGATGATTATGTAGATCACATATCACCATGAGGGTCCAACCGTCATATTGTTTGATATACGAACCTACCAATTGAAAGTTACAATTGATTTTTTTGGTTCTAGAATTTTTAATTGTTGATTTGCTTTCGTATTCACGACCTCGGTCACAAATACGTGTGATATAAGACACCACGCCATTTTCTGTCTTTGATCTTCTCATCACGATTACATAACCAATAGAGAATGCAATGTTTTGCACCCATTCCATCAACTCATCACGAGACTCAAATACCTATTTTTTTTTTAAAAAAAAAAACTTTGTTAACAAATTGTAACACAATGATAAAAAAATGTTAATATCATGATAAATATAATACCCGCGTGGTAGAAAACGATGAAGTTGCCGTCATGTTCTCAACGCCTTCATTTGAATTATTTCCATTCGGTTTCCATATTTTTTGTTAAACACTGCACTATATATATATATATATATATATATATATATATATATATATATATATATATAATACTAATTTAAAAATAAATATGTTTTATAAAAATATTAGTGTAAAAAACGTGATAGTCCAAGTGCCCATTTTATTAAGGGGGTGTTTGGATAGGAAAAAAAGAGGTGCTTATTGCTTATTCCCACAATAAGCTAACTTTGAGTGTTTGGATAAAATCCAGCTTATTAAGCTAAATAAGCTAATTTTAATAATCATCTCTTCCCATGCTTATTGCTTATTCCCACCACAAATAAGCTAATAAGCAATAAGCTAATAAGCTAATCCAAACACCCCCTAAAAATGTGTTAGCCCATATGTAAACCCAATCTAGACACCATATAAATACAACAAAAACCTTAAAATTCGTTAGCCACCACTCAAAATCCATCGCCTCTTTTGTCTCTCTTTTTCACTCGACTCTTTCACATGAATCAACCTCCTGTTCTTCCTCTTTTCTTTGTATCTTAAAACACTGGTTTCGAGGTCGACCACTGCTGTCGTCTCTTTCCCTCCGTCGTCTCCTCCGATTATTCCTTCATACGGAATAATTCAACGAATCCATGGTTGCTGCCATCGCATATGGTCTTGACAAGAACAAAGGTATTGACCATGGTGATGGAACCTCCGATTCTCGACAGAACTCTCCCTTCTTCACTCTCACGCTCATCGTCGGTATACCACCGTCGGACCACCGGTGGCGGTGAAGGTGGCGGCATTATGATAAATACTTCAAAAGTTGATTTCAGATTTGGAATAGATTATTTACCTTGATTTTGGTTTGTTCACTGTTAATTTGTGTTATCAGTCTTATAAATTAAGAATTTTTTTTAAACAAAGTGGTTAGTGGTTAATTATGAACAAGTTTCAATATAATCAATTTAATTCTTATTAAAGACACATTCTTCAAAAAATGGTTAATGGTTGCTTAATCGAAATTTATGATTGGTAAAAAAACAATTCACCCTGAAAGAAAAAAAAAAGTTGAAATGTATAAAATTATTATCAATATGTCGGGTTTGAAATGTTAGTTTGACTTAAAAGATTTAAAAGCTAAAGTTGTCATTTTGTTTTTTTATAAGGAACTAAATTGTAAATTGTCCAAATATGTTTCTTTGTTGAATCTTAGGCAGTTAAACGTAAATCTCAACTACAAAAATCCATATTTCCAATACAAAAAGCTATTTGACTTTTAAATTAGGTGTATAAAGGTGTCATAATAACAACATCCTTTAAAAAAGAATTACAAATTTATCCATTTTGTCTAGGCTTGAGGGGTCACTTAGCCGCACCTTTTTGTCTATTACATGATTGCCACAACTTTTTAGGCCAGTGGTTTTATGTCAACGTTACATGTGATTGTCACACCTTTGAATGTGGACTAGGGATGAAAGTGGGTCCAAATCCAGACCGGATGGACCCGGACCTGGAAAACCCGAAACGGGTTAACGAGATTTTATAAAACCGGCAACCAGACTGGTATATAGGAACCAATTCTGGTTCGGTTCTGGGTACGGTACCATGTAAAGTGGGTCTAGAACCGGAAAACCTAGAAACATCAAAGTGAGTAGGTTGGAACCGGATAAAGTGGGTTTAGAACCGGAAAAACCAGAATGTTTTGGTAATTACTTACTACTTAGTGGGTTGAACTTTAAAAAATTTCATATTGATATCCCGACTTTGGGGGACTGTAACTCATTGAATATGAAACCAAAATTGATAAAATTATAGTCTAAAATCATGTACAAACTCTAAACTACACTCTGGAAAAAACCGCATGTCAATCCGACTTTAAACGAATGAGATATGCACGTGTTAACATTTTCATAGAATACAAAGTACAAAAACAAATAGCTGAAAAGTTGAAAATTTTCAGTTTTGATATCCTGATTTCGGGGGACTATAAATCATTGAATATTAAACCAAAAATGACAAAATTATAGTCTAAACTCATGCACAAACTCTAAAATACAAGTTGGAAAAAACCACATGTCAATCCGACTTCAAACGAATTAGATATGCATGTTTTAAAATTTTCACAGAATACTAAAAAACTAAAAACTTTTAGCTTTGATATCTCGACTTTGGAGGACTGTAAGTCAATGAATATAAAACTAAAAATGGAAAATTTATAGTCTAAAATCATGTACAAACTCTAAACTACACGTTGAAAAAAACCGCATGTCAATCGGAGTTGAAACGAATGAGATATGCATATTTTAAACGTTTCACAAAAACCGGTTCCGACCCTAAAAGTGGTTCCGAATCCTAACACCGGTTCCGGTTTTTAGACCCGGTTTACCAGGACCCGATGGAACCAAACCCGGATTACCTGGAACCTGGATAAAGCCAATTTTTAAACCCGGAACCGATTCTAACGATTTCGGTTTCGGTGCGGTTTTCCGGTTCTAAATCTCATCCCTAGTGTGGACTCAGCTACGAACTCGGTGACCTCGGTGAATACCGTGTCGAGGCCTCGTCATGTCGAGCTCGGTTCGACAACTCGGTGATGGTTCACCGATGAGAGAGATTGTTTTTTACCCATTTATTATTCAAACCTTTTTTTTCAAAAATTGTATTCTTTCCAAAAAAATACTCAATTTCAAAAATATAACTGTTTCTTTTTTAAAATTTCAAATTTTAAACTCTCAATCTTCTACTATAAATAACTTCATCCTTATTCACTCTTCACCCCATTCAAATCTCATTAATTCTATTCTTTTAACTTTCTTATTTTTCCATCCTTTTCTACACCTAATCACTAAAAATGGTTATTGTTTGGTCGATTGAAGAAGAGAACTTACTCGCTTGTTCATGGATTGATGTAGCAAAAGATCCACACCACAATGACAACCCTTCGACTACTTTTTGGAGTAAAATCGCCGACATATACAACCGCCAAGTTCGTTAATCTCGAAGAAAAAAATCTATTCTACACCAAACGGAGAAACGCACATGCATTCACAACTCGGTTTACCATTGTGTTTCGTAGGGTGATGCACGATGCCGGAAATGGTGAAAACGAAAATATTTTGCTAGAGAATGCTCTTGAAGCTTACCGTGTTGAAATTGACAAACATTTCAAGTTTGTTGAGTTTTGACAAATTGTGAGGCAGAGCCCCAAATGACGTCAAATTTGAAGCCTTTGTCTTCTAGTTTTTAATAGGATGTGTGTTTGAATTTTTAGTGTGATGTTTCTGAATTTCTAGCGGTCTTGTGATGTTTTTAATTTCTATGATTTTTTTTTGAATTTCTATGGTTTTTTTTTAATTTCTATGTTTTTTTAATTTCTATCTTTTTTCAATGGAATTTAAGTTTTTAAAAAAATAATATGTTTGCAATATTTATTTTCTATATATATATATATATATATATATATATATATATATATATATATATATATATATATATATATATATATCATGGCAAGTGTGGCAACCCACGCCATGCAAATGACAAGTTTTGGCTAAAGTGTGACAAAAATGACGTGGCGCCTACGTGGACCGTGGTTGCATTATTTAAAGACCCCTAGGCCTTTGATTTTCGGCCATCTCTTCTTCCTCTTGGGTTGGCCTTGGGTTGGTTGAAATTCTTACCTCATCCCTCCTCTCTCCTCAATATCCTTCTTGTTAGCTTGGGTTTGAACCATTAGAGGCACGACGCTTGTGGTGCTTGCTTCCAAAGCTTCAACAACACAATGATCATTGTTATTTGCTATAATAACAATAAGGTATGTAATCCTAAACCCTTTTATGTGATTTTCAAAAATAACCTAGGGTTTCAAGGGTTCTTATTTTGAAGTTCATAGTCATAGGTTCAATAGTGAAAACATAGACCTTGTTTTAGGTTGCACGCACACTTAAGAGTTTTAAGTTTGTTTTGTAATGTCTAAAACCCATCAGATACAACCTTAATGCTTGACCATATATGAATTCCACCCACAAGGATATAGAAGGGCATCTCAATCTGACATCATGAAGTAATGTGGATATGTCAACAAGGTCAAAGGCATTGGAGAAGTCCACCGTAAGCATGGAAAGAGACCCGTCATTGTGGCGCTCACTCAACACTATGTTGGCGCTATGTAATCAGGCCTCAGCGCTACCCGACACCCCGAACCCGAACTGAAAATCATTGAGATACTTGGCAATTTCTTTACCAACACCTTTCATAGCCAGCTTGGAAACCAAACATCTTCATATAGTGCCTATTGCAATAGATCGTATTCCCTAGTCAGGTTTTAAAAGCAGTGTAGGAGGAGCATAGGCAACAAATTCTGCCAAACTCGAAGGGCGACTTCCCCCTAGCCATAGATTAACCACACATGGAATAGCACGTAGGAGGTCTTTGGCTATAGTTGAACCTTCTCCACAAAGAGCATCTAAAATGTGTTGAACTCTCAACTTATCTCTCCCACATGAGGTTCCTTTAGGGAATGATTTAATGCCCCTAAGGACATTGTCAATATCCACTACAAGGGAAGGTACTGAACATATGGTACTCGACATGGATCTTGGCGGCTTGTGTGGATGCTTATTCTCCAATGCCTTCGTGGTATCATCCTCGTATGGAGGAACCCCCGAGGAGCATAATACTTTCATTGCTGATGTGAAATGCCCATCTGCAACCTTACGGAGACATTGTCTAACGTTAGTACCGCCTCGTGTTCTATCCTCCTGAATGTACTCTTCTTTTTTGCCTTATTGCTCCAGCCTTGCATTGTCAACCAAGTTTTTAACAAGCTTGGCTACACCCGTCTTTTGTACCCCAAGTAGCTAATGCGTTTAAGATATTACGATGCTGCAAGGACTTCCTGTACCCGGACCTACTTTCTTGCCTATTCTTGGGCCTGAACACTTGAAGAGTACACCTAGGAAGAATTAACAATATAACCCACACTTCAACGGACCTGGGATGAGCAGCCACCTTGGAAAGGGATGCTTTCAAAGCCTGAGAGAAAGTCATACGATAGTTATAAGGGATACTTTTGACTATGGTGATAGGTATCTTAAACACACGATCAAGGGGTTGAGCATCCAACACAAACCCCTCATTGAGGTCGACCTCTAGTTCATTGGGTGGCAGCTTTTGAATACCAACAATATGTCCGCTCATATCATCAACCTCGCCATTAAATTTAACAAGACCATTTGAGTGGCGACATGAGCGACTTAAGGCATGTAGACTCATACAATCCCCACATATCCATTGACCAAACTCCTTCAATGTTTCTGCCACTGACGTAAACAATCCATGGTCTAAAGAAATAGCCTCTCGCAACACAGCTTTACGCTCATCCGTAAGGAGGTGCAAGCTCTTGATATGAGAAATCCCCTTACCGCCTATTTCACCGTTCGGGCAACAATGAAACTCCCGAAAAGGACACGGCCAAGTTCTGCTCGCAAATGTATGAGAAGACGCCATAAACACACAAACATATCTTATTAAAGCCTCAAGGAGAGGCTCGAAATGAAAAGCATAAATCCAAAGTAAAATGTGACACTCCAACAAAAAGTTGGAGTGCACAATGAAAAACAACATGGGGAAGAGACTCTACATCTTCTCGAGTCCTAAAATGGCTGCAATACTTGAAAAACTCATTTAGACATTTTATCGAACATCTGGCGGGCAGAAAAAAAAGTGTTTGATTTGCACCAATGAAGCTTGAGAATTTAACCCATGAATAATCTTCAAGCTTGATGATTAAGAAGGAAGAATTTCGAGTTTAAGAGAAGACGATTCTGAAACTTTTTTTAGGGGTTTGAGTATCGTCTAGTGCGGACGATTTGAAAGATAAGGAATCCTCTTAAATTCAATAGGCAACCTTCAAGATTGCTGATTTGTGGTTGTAATAGTTAATGACAATTATGTAGCAAAAAATATAAGAAATAGAGTAAATAACATTTTTGATAAATTTTGTGCAAAATTTTGATAAATTCAAACTTTGTGGTACGTTTTTGATAAATTCAAACATAAGGTTATTTTTAACAAGTTTTTAATGATCAGCTTTTGTTTGAAGTTTGAAAGATGCTTATCTCATGCGAAATCGGATCGTACATAACATGGGGTTAGGTTCATCCAAACTTTGATTTAAAGAGGATTTCAGCATTAAAATTTCAAACAAAAACCGTTTCCAAAAACCCTACATATCGGCAGCAGAAAAAGAGAGAGACAACATTTAGAGGCAAAACAGTAAAGGAAATTGTGGAGTTCTTTGCAATTTAAGGTAAAATCTTGTATCAAGCTTTGAATTTCTTATGATTATAGCTTTGTGAAGAGGTTTATTGACTATTTGGTTGATTCCTATATCCCGTAAGATTCTGTCTTGCAATACCCAAGATTGGGCAATGATAAATGACTAAGAGTCTAAAATACCTTTTATTGATATATTATTTTATTTTTTTTGAAATTTCTCTCCTATTTCATAAAAAGTACATAATTAACACTTTCCTAAAAAATACTTATTAAATTATTTTTAAAGCTAGTTAAAATGTACCAACTCAACATGTATCCCACTCACTAGTATGATGGAAAACTCCTACCACCCTAGCCTCACATACTAACTCCATAGATGATAAGATAGATGACCTTATGCTGTTATGCATATGATATTCGGGCCCCAATGTGCATAACAGGGAAAGGGGTGTAAGCAGATAGATACAACCAATAAAGCTCAAAGAAAAAAACAAAAAGGGGGTAATAAGCAGGTAAATATGAAAACACAATCATTGAGGTATGTTTTTTCCCAAATGTAAAATCTGCTCCATTGTATGTAATAACCCGTAAAACTTTTTGGAAATGATCTAACAGTTGAAGTAATTGTTCTTCACAATGGGGCAAAAACCAACCTCCAAAAAGCAGTTTACTTTTACCCGAATATGAGGGATTGGTAAACCCAACAGACCCAAATAGGCAAGATAGAAGGAAACTTGTTAACCAAGCTCAAATCAAAATCTGACCAATAATTGATTTTAATCTTAACACCAAACACATGAGTCAGATGCCAAACATAAGAAATCAAATTATGATCTTTACAATCATGAGTCATGATAGCTAAGAGAGCAACAAGGCACGATTGGAAAAGCATTTTTCAGCTCCTAAAATCCATCAAAGCAAAATCCTTGTTAATTCTGACTATCCTACTATCTATGCATAGAAACAACTAATATTCACATTAATCACCATGTTATCAATCAGAGTCGATCTATAGGGAACAGAAAAATGAAGACACATAATTTGAGACAGAACTCTTATTCAAGCCAAACGATTCAACCCCATTACAAGTGACACACTTACACATATAACTTAGGGTTCATTTCCACACAGTGACTGTATAATATTTCTATGGTTTTTATTTAAAGTATGCGAGAGATACACAACTAAAACCAACAGTGTTGCAATTTGATAAGCCAAACAGTCAACTGTATAGAAAATCGATCATCTAATTAAGCAGCGAGAGAACCAACAATTGGGTACTTAGCTTCGAATTTCTTTTCCCAATCATCAAGAATTCCCAACTCCTTTTCGGTGAGCCCATGGAGAGATCCAATAACATCCTCATCGTTCTTGCTCATCTTGGCTAGGGCCCTGCTCGCATCTTTACCGGCAAACATTGCGTAGGAGCCGCCAGGACCATAGAAGGGCTTTGCGGTGCTTACATCAAAGATACGACCCTTCACGCCGATGTATATGGGGTTTGATGGATCTGTGCCATCGTACTGCTTCAACTGATCTAGTGTTAGCTCCATAGATGAAGATGAATTTCTGACCTTCTTTGTGAATTTTCAATTTTAGGCGAGTGCTGTTTTCGGACTGAAGAGAGTTGATTTTTAGATCAAGTTTTCTGAGTGGTTGTTGGGATATATTCCTTTTTCCAATCGGTATTGTTTAGGGTATTATCCTTTTATCAAGAATCGAAAAACAAAGTAATTTATTCTTGTTTTAAATTTAGTACTTTTTTTTTAAAATATATATATATATATATATATATATATATATATATATATATATATATATATATATATATATATATATAATATACTTTTGAAAATATATGTTTAACTTTTGGACAAAATTAGGCCTGACAATCGTGTCGTGTTCGGGTTGGCGTGTCGCGGGTTGGCGGGTTGGCGGGTCAAAATATGCCAACCCAAACACGACCCATTTAAATATACAGGTCACGGGTTGACGTGTCATGGGTTGGCGGGTTTGGAACATAAACTCATATATGACCCACGAACCCATTTATTTATACGAGTTCACAGGTTGGCGGGTTTGTGAGTTAGATTTGGGTTCGTGGGTCGGATTCCATAAATAAAATTAACAATTAAACATAAATAAATTCTTGATGGTTGATACAAACATATCTGAATTTTAGACACTTAACTACTTAAGTCTTAAAGTCTTAAACATCCAAATGAAAATTAAAAACATTCATAGAAACATGTTCAATGCCTCAATCGCTCATACAGCCATACGCCGATACGCCATTTGATTTAGGGAAAAAATGAGGAAAATCAATTGGTTACAAACTTACTTACGACCTTATGAGTTAGGACCACAAGTCAAAATATCAATACATTTAAAAATAAAAAATATATTTTTTTAATTAAAAATATAAACGGGTTGGCGGGTCAACCCATTTATTTTTTGAGAAACCCATATATGACCCGTTTAATAAACGTGTTGGCAGCTTAGCGGGTTGTCGGGTTGAAAAACTCAACCCAAACCTGTTTATTTCGTGTCGTGTCGCGGGTCGTGTCGCGTGTCCTGTCGAGAATTGCCGGCCCTAGACAAAATTATAAAAAAGGTCCTTATACTTTGTTATTTTAGTGGGTAAAATCAAAACCTTGACAAAATTATGGATATGGTAGTTCTGTTATGGATCTAGTATGTGTAAAAAAAAAATTAATGTTTTATATTTAATATTTAATTTACATTTTTTTTATTATAAATTAAACACTTATTAATATTAAAATAGAAAAAGGTCTATACCCGCACCATCTATATATCTATCTATCATCACTTTCTACGGTACATTCTCAATTTCAATTAAAGATGAAAATGATTTCTTACAATGTCTCTTTCTATCTATACTAAAGATCAATGTTCTAAATAACGTAAGGCGTGACTTGGCGGCAATGTCAAGCCTCAAGCTTTTCCGAGCCTTGGCGAGCCACGTCGTTTGTAAAGCGTGACTTAAGACAACAATTTTATATATAATCAATATTTTTATATGTATTATCAACTATTATTCTATTTTATAAAAATATATGAGTTAAGGCGGCGTTTTAGTAAAGCTTGGCGGCAGACACAAGCCTTGGAGCCATGACGAGCTTTTCAGAACCTTGTTAAAGATGAAGATGTTTTCTTACAAACATGGGATGAAGGTATTGATCTTCCAATTTTGTTTCATATGTATATATATTGGTGATTAGTGGTTTTTGGTCGATGATAGTGGGGACGGTCATAGGTATGGCAATGATATAAGGTGGGGGCGAAGCCATGTTGACTTGTGTTTGAAAACCCCAGGGTTGTGGGATGTAACATTCATTTTTCAGAATTGATCAGTCAGTGACCTAAAGGAGACAAAGTTATGATTTTTGGAGAAAACAATATGCCATGGGGTGGTGGGTTGATGACCACGACGTGTCATGACAATTTAGTGAAGAACGCGTCTGGCTTGTTTACCACAACGTGGCAAGGTGTTGGTCGTTGTGTGTCATCTGTTGCAGCCAAGTCCATGAATTTAGTAAGGTTTCTCCCATATTTAAGGACCTTAACTTTAGGGTTAGGTCATTCTCTTTAGCCTCCACCCTCCAACCTCGACACCCTAGCCATTTTTTTTAGTGTTATTGAGGTGTTCTTGGCCATTTGAAGGTTCATTTCTCATGCCTTGGTGTAGAGCTTGAAGATCAAGTTGCTTGCAAAGTGTTTTGGTGAAGAGCTCAAGCGTAGATCTACCAAAGTGACTTCATTTAAGGACCATTGTGAGTATAAAGCTTCAACATTTGCTTCAAGTTTGTTAGATTTAGCTCATGGACCATTTTTATGCTTCTGGCCCTTCTTGGTGGTGTGCTTGGAGTTAAGATGACTCCATCCCCTTCTAAGCTCTAAGAACTGTCTTTTGGTGTAATGTCCCAAAAATACGAAGTGAAGATTTTCTTTAAATCAATCAAAAACAACAATTCATTCAATTCGAAATCCCATCAGAGTACAAAACAAGTCAAGTAATGCGGAACACTGGTGGATGCAGTGCAATCACTTCGAGCTCTTCCTCCTGGAACCAGAAGTAGCTGAAACCATAAACATAAAACCGTAAGCACAAAGCTCAGTGAGTTTCCCAAAATACCGTATACCATACATACATATCAGCTCGAAGCTGTAACAGGTCTATTTCGTCCCCGAGTCTATTTCAAAACAATCGGTATTTTTCAACCGTACAGGTCTATTTCACCCCTGGGTCTAATTCACCTCGAGTCTATTTCAACTCAATCGATGTTTTTCAACCGAACGGGTCTATTTCACCCTTGGGTCTTTTTCACCCCATATACGTATAACATACATTCTTATCAACGAGAGTCACAAAAATAACAAGCACATAACGACACCTAGTGTCCTACAGTACAGTGAGAAGACTCACCTCGATCGGTAAACGAAAAGATCTCACACACGAGCCGCTGGTGCTAAACTCTCCTACTAAACATATCTAAAACAAACCCTAATTAGCAATTAAGGTAAACACCACAACTTAGTAGGTCCAAATACCAAGATAAATCCTCATTTGGGCAAAATACCATTTTACCCTTCTAAGTCCTTAACCCTCACAGTTGACCACAATTCAAACTGGTCAAAAAGTGTAACATCCAAAAATTTTACGCCAAATTTAAACCTTTCAATCATAAATAAAACCCAATAGTGTTGTTTACAAAAATGTTTTCAAATCATTATTCAATCAGAGTGTCCCAAAAGCCATATCATAAGGATGAGGAGCAGTACGGTCACGCCTTCTCCTTGCCATGAACTCCTGAAGCACCTGAAACAATAAACTGAAAACTGTAAGCCCGAGGGCTTAGTGAGCTACCCCCAAAATACCAATACCACACTGATAATACCATATCCGTAATAATCAATCAATCAACATGCATACTGGGCCATCGGCCTGACTGGACCGCCCTACAGGGCCTACAGTCTAACTGGATCTATACCGAGCCTTCGGCATGACTGGACCGCCACGTGGGCCTACAGTCTCCCCGGACCGCTCATAGGATGTGTTGGCCTTCAGCATAAAGCAGGACCGCCTCAACCCAAGCAACAAGCAATTAACCATGTGCGCATAACTAACATATACTGGCATATACAACATCAAACATATCTATCTCACTGATCACCAAACATAGCAATCTCTCATAACTAGAGTACTGACCTAGCAGGTCACTAACATATCAATCCCTACGGATCATGAGAGCATAACATACTATCTATCCTGATTCTGATCTAACAATCATAACCACATGTAACATACCATAACAATAACAACTAAAAGGGCCGGCCTTGGTGCCTTAGACCCTATCGATATAGTGAGGATAACTCACCTTGCAGATGTCGACTCGGAAGATAAACTCCAACTCTCGGATCACTTGCCAAAGACTCCTCCACCGATTACCATAATACGAAAATAACCGTAAGCCCTTGACCTTACAAGGTACTCCTTAGACCAACTAGTCAACCCTTGGACAAAGTCAAAGTCGTCAGTCAAGGTCAACAGTCCATGTTGACCCTAACTCGCCGAGTACCCTCGGCTACTCGCCGAGTTCTTTGAAGTACTTGCCCACTCGCCGAGTCACCGGGGTGACTCGCCGAGTTCCTTCGGTTTACGATCGAAACCCTAAGCCCACTCGTCGAGTTTCCTTCTTGCAACTCGACGGGTACACACGTGTACATAAGTTGGGGGAACCTTAACCGACTCGCCGAGTTGTTCATCCACTCGTCGAGTCTACGACAATATTCATCGGACTCGCCGAGTTGTTCATCCAACTCGTCGAGTTCAATGCATATCTTCATATGACTCGCCGAGTCGACCATGCCACTCGCCGAGTCCCTTCAGACCTTTTTGCCAAACAGACTCATTTGAGCCATGCAGCGGCTCCAAACTACAGATCCAAGCTTCTAAGGCATGCTTTTCACGTAAAGTTGCAAACTTTACGTGCATGCATAGCCACAAAGGCTCTAAATGTCAAATCCAAGCTCACAATGGGGTTTCCTACCCAAGGAAGGCTTCATTCATGCCCAAACCAGAAACTTTATGACTCTAGGACTTAAGAAGGGTCCAGATCTGAAGTTACAACTTCAGATCTAGGCCATAGTCCACCATATCAACTCAAAGATCCATAAAAGCCCCAAACTCAACCAAAAAGATCTCTACAAGGGGAAAAGAAGTAAAGGTGGCGACTTGATACCTCTAGAAGATGCTAGCTGAGGTAGATTCGGGTTCCCACACTTTCCTTGCTCCAATTCCCTTGCCTTCCAAGTTCCTTTTCTCCAAGGATCTTCCTCCCAAGCTTAACACACACAAGAATGAAACATCACACGAATTAGGGTTTTCTGGGCTCTCAATGGACTGCAAAGAGGCCAAAGGAGGCTTATGCTTCCTTAAATAGGGTGCAAAACCCCGGATTTAGGGTTTCATCTGCCAGCTCCTACTCGTCGAGTCCCTTCATGGACTCGGCGAGTAGGTCACTAAAACACG